TGGTCCGAGGAACGTGACAAAGAGCTCAAGGTGTCGACCTGCCCTCCAAATTCCACAGATCCCCATCTGATCAGACATCTTTGGGACATGCTGGTACCCCACCTCACAACCCACAAGACTCAAAAGATCTGATGGTAACACCCAGATGCCAGACACCAAGGGACACCCTCCAGAGGTCCTGTGTCCATGCCTTAACAGGTCAGAGCTAAGTCCAGTCCAACGAGGACCCACCGTGGATCGGGGGTATCCCTCAAAGGTACGATCAGGTTGGTATCTTGGGTATTTGGAGGTCAAGTAGCATCCACGTGAATTCTAGGACCCATGGTTTCCCAGCAGACCATTGCATTGTAACAAGATGATCCATGTTATTCACTTCACCTGTCAGTGGTTTTAATGTTTTGGCTGATTGGTGTATGGATGGAAGAGATCACTGATGTATTCAGGTGTCTTACCGTGGGCGGCTCTACATGTGAGAACGAGTATCTTAAAGTGAATCCTGAACTTGATGGGAAGCCAGGTTAAAGAAACTAGAATGGGATTGAAGTGGCTTGACCTGTTGGACCTGGTAAAGCGTTCTGGATTATTTGAAGATGGTTCAGAGAAGATTTGTTTAGACAAGTAAAGAGGTAAGAAAGCATGGATAATCATCTCTAGCTCAGGACAGACCTGAGCTTTGCAATGCTTCTTAGCTGAATTTAACAGAAGTTTAGGTCAGTGATTTAACATGATGATCAAAATGCATGGCCTGATCAAAAATAACACCAAGATTCCTTAGATTTGACCGTATAGCTGACGAAAGGGACCCAATACTCTTTGAAGCAATTCAGTCCGAAGCAATTCAATCTGAAGCAATTATCAGAGCCTCTGTCTTGCCACATGCTGGACTTTGAATGATTTTAGGACGTTCTACATTTGATGCTTAACTAATATGTAATGTTTCAGTGTCATTTCTGGTTGAGTTGAGGAGTTACAGCACAAGACCCTGAACAGTCAGACTTCCACCTGCGTTGTGTTGGATCTGTGGAAAACTGGAGTCCAGTGAGTGATGCAAAAGAGCAATTCAGTGGGATTAACTTCAAGCAAAGGAATCGAGTGCTGCTGCTTCTGTGTGACAGGAGAAACTCCGATGGCTTAATAAAGTTCTGGACTAGTGGAAATGTTTGCATGTGGAAAAAGCGCGCACAGTGAAAAGTCTGATCAAATCTCTCTCCTCAGTTAAACTTCTGAGATTACTGAAGCGTAATGATTCTCCCGTATCACTTTTCCTGAAGGAGGGAACGCTAATACAAACATCAACTCCTCAGCTTTTCCTACTTCACACAGCTGTGTGCCAGGAACACAAAGTAGCTCTGATTGGAAAGCATGACGTCATCGATAAACTCAACACAACAAACACTTTTGTTCTTCAACTGTGTTTATCTTCTTGTTCATTGTCTCTCTTTTGAGATCCAAGAGTTTTGACTGTCATGATATCAAATATAATGTAGAGCTCACAAGAAAATTGTTGTGTTTTTGGCCACCTGGACAGGCTCCTATGAAAAAAGAAATATTCCACTAACAATGAAATTCCTTCCCTTCTTGAATGCCTCGAACCCCTTTCAGCTGTAACTGTGTTGTTTTTCCAAAGACTTAAATATCAAGACTAATAACATCATGGACTAATAACCTGGCTGGTTCAGTGGGAGAGGAAAAGGTTGCACCGTGTTCCAGTTTTGACTTTAGAGTGCTTAGTGGAAAGTGAGTCTCCTACCTGCACACAGTAATGCCTCGCTTGGATTTGAAGACAGTGTAACCAGATAGTATGTGCGGCTTAGAGAAGAAAGCAGCGTGAGCCAGCTCAAAAGGTAGGGTCAGCTTTCAGGAATGCCATCGACGGAAAGTGGTTAGAGTTTTAAATTTAATGAAAAGTGTAGACACATACATGTACGTTTTAAATTTATAATGTGTGCGTAAAAAATGAAGGAAAAATGTTCAGGGACTGGCAAAGTATGATATGTGGTGAGGCTGTTAAACATTAATCATTCCAGACATTTTGTCATTATGGTGCTGTGTGTCTCGTAAAGACAAACACCCCGTAGAGTCGAGAGTCACTTTTTGGAGCAACTTGCTGCATACATTTGCATATGAATGAAGAAGCCTCCTTAATGCTTAATGTGGTACATGAAGACAAGTACGTTGGTATATAAATAGTTTCTAATTAATCCATTTATTGGCTTAATTAGAGAGCTCATTAGCATAGAAGGTTATGTTTAATATATCATTTCTGATTATGATGGGGCTTTAAAGGGATACTTCACCCAAAATATGATTTGAATCCATCGTATATCAATTACACACCCTGTTACGTTGAATTTGTGCAAATGAAAGGGGCCCTCATTCAGCAACAACAGAACTATGTCAGAACATCTGTTTATACACTCATACACAGCTTGTGTATAATCCAAGTCTCATTTTTCATGTCATATGCTCAGTCTTTGCAAACTAGAATGTAGAGGCTCATGCACACTAGTGGTGTAAGAAAATATTGATACGTTGAAATATCGCAATATTTCGTTTTGCAATACTGTATCGATTCTCAAAAGTACTATATCGGCATGTAATCAGTAGTTTTAATGCAAACATTTCTGGCAGTGATTATTTTGTGTGTTGTATTTAACCCTCCTACAGCTAGTTACCAGCAGTCACACGGCCATTTGACTATTCCACTCCACCGAAACAACAAGATCTCGTAAGTGTAAAAGCCTCGGCAAACTCTGGAATGACATACAAATGCAGATTACACTGTTCTTCTGTTCTGACAGCATAAACATAAACTGTTTACACAGATTATATGCGTAATAGCAGCATGGTGTGTTCTTTATACCATGAGTTTTCCATAAATTAGATTCTTTTGAAAAAAAAAAAAAAATCATTTATCGCTTTGCTTAAAGTATTGCAATATATCGCAATATATCAAATCGTTGCCTCTGTATCACTATGTATCGTATCCCTAGATTCTTGTCAATACACACCCTTGATGCACACCTTCATAACTTGTAGACAGGTGCGTAAGAGAAAATTGTCCATAGGTGTAGAGAGGAGATGACTGCAACAGTCTTTGAATGGCCTCACCTGAGCATGACATGATTGTGCCAAGTGGGACATGCTCCTAGATCAACATGCCACATTGCGTTCCTGGACCAGCATTGCAATCAACTATTGACAACAGCGCTCTGACATCATCAGTGTGCTGATGCCAGGGTTAGTGAGGAAGGCTATGCTAAGGAGTAAACTTGCCAATAAATGACAATATTAGCAAGTTAGTTTGAATGAACCAGGTAACCAGGCAGGCTATGCTTACGTTTAAGCTTACCGTAGCCCATTTAAAACTTGTGCGATCTGGGATCATTTTTTGTTGACCCAGGACCATCTTCATCATCTTCATCCGGCTGATCCAGGAACATCATTCCCATGTTCATTCTAGATAACTTGTTTACGCTGATCTTGGACCATCATTGTCATGTTGATCTCGAATAGACTTGCTTATGCTGATCCAGAACCATCACTGCTATCTTGATGTCGACATAAACATATTATCCAGAATCCACGTGGCAATGATGGTCCCTGATCAACAAACAAATTATTCAGGGTCAACATGACAGAGTGGTCCTGGATCAACATGAGCGCAAAAATCTTGCAATCTTGCAAAAATAAAAAAGAAAGGTAAGGTAAGGCAGTAAAGACAGAGGGAAATGTGTTAATCACACATATTTGCAATGGAAAAATTAGATTATCCGTACTCTGTGTTAGCAAACAATATTGTAGCCTATTGGCAAGCTTACATTAACAGCGTAGTCTACCTACTTAGCTTGCTTTAGTCTTTGTCTTAACAAAGACTAAAGCATTTATTATTTGCACAAATCAAGATCTGAAGACACAGTTGGTTTCACTCAATGGCCAGCTTGTTACAACTGTGGAAAATTTTAAACACCTTGGTACAGTTCTGGACTCCCATCTGAGCTTCTCTGGAAATAAGTAAGTAGAGATGTTCATAGCGACTCTATCTTCTCAAGAAACTCAGTGGCTTTGGTGTTAGTCAGCAGATATTAGAATCAGTGTACAAAACTATATTTGAGAGTGTTTGAACTTTTCACCTCTCTGTCTGGTACGGTCATCTTACCCATACATCCAAGAATAAACTTTCTAGCATTGTAACGATGGCAAGTAAAGTACTTGGCAATCCACAAAAGCCCTTCACCCAACTCTTTACAGAGAGGATGAGGAAGAAAGTGAGTATCTTAGCAGATAGCTGCCACCCTCTCTTTAGCCAGCTTGAGCTCTTGATCTCCAGGAGGCGCCGTAGAGTCCCTCTTGCAAACTAAAAATGTATTTCATATGTCCTTCATCCCAAGTGCCATCCAAAGTGGCTGATGAGTTTTAAACCACAGGCAGACAATGAGCTGATGTGATGTAGTAAGTGTTTTGTAATGACTTGACTTATTGACTTGTCTGCTTTTTACAGTGTTGTCTTTTGTGTTGAGCCAAAGACAAATTTCCAGTCATGGTGGACAATTAAGACTTATTCTATTCCTGACAAATTAAACATTACATGGAGTGAGTAACTGATATACAAGCTGCTCACTATATGGGTTTGTTATAACTCTGCCTTTAATACTGAGCCATCAGTGTGTTCGTATGTCGGAGTGTGTCTGAAGCAGTCATAGCTAATGGCTCATATTAGCCATGGAGAAGTAGGAGGAGGCCTGAATAGCATTAATTTTCTGCCTATGTTGAGAAATGTCTGATAAACAGCTCTACTGCTACAAGTTGTCGGTAGGTTCAGCATTAGAGCATGTGCTTGGTGTGTAGCCTGTGAACGGTTGCGCGTGGCTCGTCAATGTTGATGATCAGTTCCCCGGGGCACTGAGTGGCTCGATGGGGCTGAAGGGCGCTGTGTCCTCTGGGATGGAGGGGTATAAATGCTGGAGCCTCTGGTCTCTGCTTCCTGCTGCCTGCTGGAGTGGGCATGAAGAGCAGTGTACGCAGGGGTAGAAAGAAGAGGCTTTACGAGCTGGTAAAAGGTACCACAGGTGAGGCACTGCAAGAGAGGAGGTGAGGCTCTGTGTAGACGGAGGGGTCGGGGTGAGTTTGTGATGCAGCTTGTATGATCCACTTTACTAAAGAAGGCAGCGATTGTGTTTTAATGTTGTTCCTGTTTATCCTGCAGTTGTGATGTTAGCAAGTGATTACATGTAATATTGGTGAAGACAATCAGCTCACTTTTTACACCAACATCAAGCAAAAAGTAGTGAACTGAGTGATAAAGTTTTTTAGCTTTTCTGCTCCGAAGCTGTCAAAGCTTTGCAATCGAACGTCTCTTCTATGTGGGTCACAGGATCCACCATGTTGGACATTGATCTCTGCGCTTTGATTGTGGCACAGGAAAGCAGGTCACTGATTTCCTAAACTGTCAAACTATCAATTTCTCCTCTGCCCTAAAGCTCTGGATCCCAGCATAATTAAAACTGTAGGCCATGGATGGAGGATGTAAAGCATGCAGAGGTGACAGAGAAGATTTTAGAGGATTACATGACAAGCTTTTTTAACTTTGGTTGAACAGTAATGGAGGGATATCAAACTTAAGATCATTTGTCAATCAAATGTTTTACTTTAAATTTGAAGGACGCTACAGTGGGGCTCTTAACCTGTGAGGGAATAAAGCAAATGGCGATGAATCCAGAGTGACGCTAAACTAGTGATGGGTGAAAACGAATTCATAATGTTGCAATGTAGTGCAGGCATTGACTGTACAGGCGAGGACCGATTACATCAGACTCGAGTTGAAACCTCCACCAGCCAAGGCACAGAGCATTCACATGCTTCTTAGGTAGTTGTTTTTTCCAACTTTGGTGCTTTAACTTGTCATGTGGAAACAAAATGGACGCAACAAAGATGATGTGTTGTATGTATAAGGAAATAGATCAGATGAGCCATGAAATATGAGGAACTCATTTTTCAGATTATTCCAACTGCACATGAATGCAGCACAAAGCTGTGGAGATAACTGGGATGTCTGCTACTTGCCCTTCAAAGTTGGTCAGTGACATTTCTTTAAAAGCGTACTGACCCACATACAAGTGGGAAGCTGAATCAGTGAATCAAAATGGATATTTAATCTTTATGTAAACTTATACATGATGGCTGGTAATGCATTGAAGAGAGGTTTTGTGTGGCAGGCAGCACTAGCTGTTGAACTTACATGTACTTTAACAGAGTGTCATAGAGGAACTTGACAGGTTTGATACATCTACACGTGTCAACTTGAACAAATGGAAACTGTAAAAAGGATCAGTCCGCCCATCACTACTGTAAACATGAATGAAATCTTTGGGCAGAAACGTGACTCTGTGTATTTTACTTTGCTGTTCATCAAACATTCAGTGACTCCCTGCATTATGTAACTGCGGCTGGCAGATAATCGTATCTGCTGGCACTGCTGACATTAGCTGGACCGGTGCATTTTCGTCGGTGCCTGAAACACTGAGCAGAGCGATATCACAAGAACTAATAACATTAGGCAGCATTGTAATGGCAAGAGGCCAGATTGGACCAGCTTTGTACTGGAAGACTGTGGAAACAACCGCCCTCAGAATGCCATTATGCATCGCTCAGTCATCTCTCTGCTTGCTGGTATCTGCTCTGCAATCATACCATTTCCTGTGGTAAATGGTATGTTGTTGTTTCAGATGTCGTTACATTGGCTTTATTTAATCATTTGATTTTTTTTTTTCATCCTCCCTCTTGTCTTCATCTTTGTTGCCTGAACACCTTCACTCCTTTTGTCATATCGCTCCCGGCTCTTGAACCTCGTGCACCTAATTCTCTAATGGCCAACTCTTTGCTCCTTCCTCTCCCGACATCACCCTCACTGTTCTTTACCCCCATAAACCTCTCCACATGTGTGCTCCCTTCTGGTTGGAGATTGCAGAGTGCACTGTAGCCCCAGTTGCAATGGAGGACAGTGACCATGAGGCTCACTCTTCGTCAGACGAGCAGGACTCCTGCCCTGCCTCCCCTAATCACAGCAGGGAGCATAATGATGAACAGGTACCACTAACACCACCCAAACCCCCCTGAACTTCCTATTTGATTCCCCTTCTAGTGGAAGTCTTTGACTGATTTGATCCATTTAACTTTACCTGATCAGGGTTCCCGCAGATCCTTAAAAAGTCTGAGAAGGCATTGACATCATTAATGTAAAAAAAATAAGGCCTTGATCCAAATGGAAATGTCTCAAATAATTTCTTTTAAGGCATAAAAATGCCAAGACATGGGAAGTAGGATTCATCTTTTCTTCACGTTGCATTGTAAAATCTAACATCTATTTTTGTTAAATAATTTACCAAACACCTCTCACATTGATGTCACCAGCTCTGGAAAGCAGAACACTCATATTTTGTTTCTGGCAGTGATGCTCAGAGGTTCCACTGTACAAATTCAACAAAACAGGCTTTTTAATTAAGATTTTTACAGCATGGCTGAAATGAGTACAAGACAATACTTACAAAGCTTGGTGTATTTTATGCAAATTTTTTCAAACTCAGCATGATGGGAATCAAAGCAGTGGATTTCCACTTGCAGAGTGAGAAACACCAAGAAAAACCGCCAACAGTTGTGTCCCAGTGCTGCTCTACCCTTGTCTCTGCCATGTTTAAAAAAAATTTCAAACATTTGAAGTTAGGGCTGTCAAGCGTTTAAAAAAATTTTGGACACCATTGTCCCCTGTCTTCTACCACCAAAACTGGTCTGCAGTCCATTTCAATCCATTTTCTAAGTCGGTCACAGGTAGACTTACTCATTTTGCGTCTGAACACCTGGTCAAGTGTGGCTTGATGAGGCTGGCTGCTAGCGCTAGTATCACAGCATCAGAGGCTGTTTTAGCTCGGGCCTCCAGGTTTGCCAATAAATACTTTGCGTTGAGGTGATACTTCAAGCTTTCAGACGCCACAGAAACAAGTGCTCCTATCAACACTTCCATCTGGGCATTTTTTAAATGTAAATGTTCCATTCACGGGGCCAAGCAGCATCGTCTCATCTGCCTCCATCATGTGACAAAGCCACCGTGGCCTTCAATGACACACCAGGTCAAAGGGCACCACAGAGCACGATTAGCAGCGTTAATTTTTTCAGTGATTAATTAATTGAAATGAACGCATTATTTTGACAGCCCTATTTGAAGTAGATCATCTAACTTTTTAGTGGACCAAAAAGTCACGTTTTATTTTGCAATGAACATTTGGGCAACATTTTTCCCTAACCTTAAATAATTTATGTACGTTTTTTAATGCGACCAACATTACATTAAAAAAAAAGGGCTTTGAAAGTCTTCTAATCTAACTTGCCTAAAGCTGTGGGAACCCTGCTTGGTTAGCATCAAGAAGAAGCAATAATGTAAATAGGTTTTTTTCATACAGACCAAAAGTTGCATCTTCACGTGTCCTGTCCCAGCAGCTCACACTACTTTTACCCCTCAGCTAATGCATAGTGCATAAACATGACACGAGTGCAGAGTCACAGTATGGGCTTACAGCTGGATTTAAATGGCCTCATTGCTTTCTGAGGGCCACTACATTATTTATCTTTGTGCTTGCAGAGCAGGGAGACTTTAGTTTGTGGTAACTGGAGTCCAGAATGTACAGCAGCCTACACTTCTGCTGTGTATCCTCTTACAAAGAAAAGCTCCACTTTGTTTTTAGCTTTGTGATGGTGCAATTGGCAATCCAAGAGTGAAGAATAAATGTATGTGCCCCTAAAGTCATGAGTTGTCCTTGACCTCTTATAACAACCATAAAGATGCCTTTTGCTTCACATTAGCTCTGCAAAATTTATGAAGTGGTCAGGAAATTTATAATCTGTAAAGTAGGAAAACCTCTCTCTGCTTCCAGGAATGTACAGCTAAAAGTTTGCCCAAGTATTACAGCTCATCCAGTGTTAGTTTTATAGTAATGAAATCACACACAGATCCCCTGAGATATATGGCTGGTATTATTGTTCATCTCTAACATCCAATCCGTCCTTGTTAATGATGATAGAAAGTGATTACCCGCTGAATTATCCCCTGCATGTTGCCTAGTTTTCATCACCAGAAAATACTGCAACCGTTTCTAAATGTGTGCATTTTCAACCCCCTGGATCTCCTCCCCCTCCACATCAACACCGGACCTTTCCTCTACCCATCTTTGCCTCCGCCTTCTATTTTCTTTCCACCCGTTCCTCTGCACCGCCTCATCCACCCCCTTGAATCGTGGCGTCCCTCTCTAGCACTCAAGCCATTCAGACGACTCAGAGGTGGAGAACATTATGCAAGACCCTCACCACCAAGGAGGGCACAGCCACCACCACCACCACCATGACCATGACCACAAGCACCACCCCCACCCCCACGACACTGAGCCTCATGAAGCAGACAGGGGAGCTGAGGGCGAAGACCGCCCCCACACCCCATCATTTTTGCGTCCTCCCGTGGCGGGCAGGGCGCAGTCGGATTCAGGTTCAGAGCCCAGTTTACCGCAGAGCAGAAGTGTGGAGTTTGACTTGCCGTGCCCTGTCAGTCCCACCAGGCCCAGGAGTCCCTGGGGTCGGTTTGACCCATACAGCAATAATGAGGTAACACAGGGAGGGACGACAGAGAAGATGAGCACCATCTGTGTGGTTTAGCTCTGCTGTCAGGGCGATGCTGCTGTGTGCTGTCATGTGTTCATCTTCAGACTGATGAATGCAGTTCATGGGATGTATAGAAGTCCAATGTGTTGCTTTGTGTGATTAGAAATAGGTTGAATTTTGGTGGATCAGGTTATGATTTGGGCTCTGTGATGGTAGCAATGCTTTTCACTTGTCTTGTGTTGTTGACTTTATTTAGGTGTCAAACCTTTGTCGGAAAGTTGATGTGATTTTAACATGGACTGATAACAATGTTGTTATTTTTGGGTAATGTGTGCTTCCCTGATGTATTATTTAATCTTTCTGTTTATTTTTTTAGGACCAGGACAAGGAATACGTGGGTTTTGCGACACTGCCAAACCAGGTGCACCGCAAGTCAGTGAAGAAGGGATTTGACTTCACGCTCATGGTAGCAGGTAAATCCTTGTTTGGACATTAGCAGACATTCATTCCTAAGCCCACCTCTTACTTTGAAGAGACTGCCAATTATAAAGTCTTAAACCTCGCTCTTTTCATCTTTGTTGCTCTTTGTTTGAAGGCGAGTCTGGCCTGGGAAAGTCCACCCTGGTCAACAGCCTCTTTCTCACAGATCTTTACAAAGATAGGAAGCTGCTCAATGCTGAAGGTGAGGACGCCTCAGAGTTTGTTTTGTTTGTCTGTTTTCTTTTATAAACATTTGTCCTTCAATATGCCACGGCTGATTTTAAGAACAGTGGTCTGTCTGTGTCCTTTCCCCAGAGCGAATCACACAAACAGTAGAAATCACCAAACACACAGTGGATATAGAAGAGAAAGGTGTCAAACTGAAGCTCACCATCGTGGACACCCCTGGGTTTGGGGATGCTGTAAACAACACTGAATGGTAAATGTCAAACATCTTTGATTAAAGACGTATTTCACTGCTAGAAAGAGGGTCATTACATGCAGCTCTATTCAGTAGAAAGACACAAATACTTTTGAAAAAGGTGCTATATGACCAGAGGACAGAGAAAAAGGGTTGTGTGGGCACTGTGCTGCACCAAACTGATAAACTCTCCCACTGGTAAATGACATACTGTGCGCTCCAATCCCCATACTACCATACTGTATAGTATGCCAGGGAATGATTTAGTATGTCTTAGTACATAGTATGTCAAATGCCAGGATGTTCTCCTGCATCCGATCCAATTTTGCAGTATGCAAGCCAGCATGCTCTTCTGGCTACTCTGACCCACTCCAGCTCTCCAGGTTGACCTCTGCTTCTAGTGAGCTCGTTTGTTATATCTCCATGGTAACAGATATTTGCGTAAGATGGTCAATGTTCAGGCCATAATGTTATGAGACAGTATGTCCCGATTGTGTGCATACTGCATGCATCAGTACGAACTTTTTAAGGGCAGCTGCAGTACCTACTATAAGTAAATAGAAGAAGTCTGTGATTCAGAACGCACCCATAATGCAAGCTTGACTGTTTTGACACAGGAAACAATATGGCGGCCAGCTGGTAACTAACAATCTTGAATTACAGTTAAAAAGTTAAAATATGTCTCTGAAAATATTTGAGGCAAGAAAAGGGTAACACAGTAACCAAATCTTGGTTCATATTTGATCAGCGCAGCTTAGTTTTATCATTTGATCTCAGTTTTTACAATATAGAAAATAGTATGGTGCCCACTTCCTGTTCACATATTCTCATATTACAGGTAAACGGTGCACTAAAATATGTTTCTGAAGACATTTTAGGTGAGAAATAGACAATACGGTAACAGAATCTTGGTTTATATTTGATCAACACTGCCTAGTTTTATAGTTTGAAGTGGTGAGCATACAAAAAATACAGAAGGACAGTCCGTAGTTTGAGCAACAGCCCTACAACCAACTCAAACCTGGTGGATGATGCATTTGAGGTGGGAGATAAGCAGGGAAATCTGGGCACTGGTAAGATGGAGAGAAGTTTACCACAGTTCATTTACACATACTGCCCACATTGTTATGATACAAAGCTGGTTGAAAACAGGCAAAGTATTCCTTCCTGAAACTCCAAAATGACTCCATTCACAGATCGCAGCTGGATAACTTCATTTTAGTTCTGTGTTATAAAAGTCTTGTGCCGTACTTCGTCTGTTGCCTCAGAGACTGAATGTCCCCTTGTGTTTCTGCTCTAGCTGGAAGTCAGTGGCTGACTACATCGACCAGCAGTTTGAGCAGTACTTCAGGGACGAGAGTGGCCTCAACCGCAAGAACATCCAGGACAACCGTGTACACTGCTGCCTCTATTTCATCTCACCCTTTGGCCATGGGTATGACAGATTCTCAGTGCTCTCTTAGGGATTAGTTAACCTTCTTTCTTTCTTTTATCACCACTAATTATGGAGAATATTTACCAGTTTTTCCTGCAGTATGTGATGTCTGCTAACATTTGCATCCAACCTGTGACTGCCTTTACTTTCCCTAAATGGCGTAGTATATCACAACATTTCTGCATGCTCATACACAGCTTTTCCCTGCACACACACAACCACCTGAGTAATTGAGATTTATCACAAATGTCTAGCGCTCCAGTATTTACTTTCAGCACATTCAGCCCCATAAATTGTTAATACAGGAGGCTCTTGCCCGGAGTTAAAGCAGTTCTCGGCTGCCTTCAGGTGAATTTACATCTAGTGCAGAGCTCTCTCTCTAATCAATTGTTTGTGCTGATGTGGTGCTTTTTGCTGCAGTTGTGCACATGTACCGTTCCACATCACTGCGCTCATTAAAGAACAAACATGCTGTAGACCTCAAGTAATGCTGCAGTACATTTTATAAGTCACAGAAATGGAGGAACTGCTCCCTCTGGTGATGAGCTTCAGACATGACTCATCAGACACCAAGAGGTCACTTGGAGAGCAAACCTCTGCCACAGCTGACTGACCAGTGACTTCGTCTTACGTCTTACATTTAAATCAGTGTCTTCAGGCTGCCAACAAACAACTACAGTCAGGCTAAAAACAGGTTTACTGGTAGATGAAGTGATACATTTTTAGCTTTCTTTATAAAATATTTAGCGTACTGGCTTTACTGATATCTATAGGTAGTGTGTTCCATAGCTTTGGAGCATAACTAGCAACAGCCACATCCCTGATTTTTCTTTTGGCTGTTGCTGTGAACCTCCGATAAACCAGCAGCAGATGATCGCAGTGTTCTTGAAGGCAAATAGTTAACAAGAGAGTTAGCAATGTAGCCTGGTCTGAACCAATTTAGGCTTTGTCCTGTATATAAGGAGGAGGACCCTAAAAACAGTTTCTAAGTGTTGCGGGATCGAGTGCAGAGCATCTGAAACTGAGCTGATGTGCTCTCTCCTCTTGGTTGTGGTTAATAGGCGAGCTGCAGAGTTTTGAGTGTCATGAATATTTTGTCCAGCAGCAATCAAAGTTCAATTTAGGACTAGATGTCACAATCCCTGATGCACACACTTGAAACTATGAGTGGAAGTGAGAGTGCCGTCTGGGGGTCAGAGTGGGAGCCAAAGGGTTACATGGATAGAAAAGTAGGAAAGAGCAAAGGGTAGATAGAAAAGTAAGAAGGAGCATAGGGAAGGCAGAGCCAAGGAGAGATGTCTGTGGGGACTGAACTCTCACCCAGCGGACTGAGCTGTACACTCTGCCTCCCCCTACTCCCTCATTTTGATGAGGGGGGAATGAAGAAGAAACTAAAAGGAGAAAAATATACAGCTGTACCTAACTTTAATCAAGATGGAGTTTAACTAGTCAATTGGTGTTGCACATACTTAGAGTTGGAGACATGCTTGGGGAGGGCGTGGGAGCTTAAGGAGGGTAATCATCGTGGTCATCAGGTAGGTACCCTACTTCACTGGTGTTTCGATGGTAGACCCACGACACCTTCAGAGGACTCCTCTGCTTTCACTCTCCCGAAATCTGCTGTTGTTGGTGGCAGCTCAGGGCCCAAGTGGTGTCTCTCCTTTTAATTCATAGCCACTGGCTTGCCTGTTCAGCTGCACCAAAGAGGGCTTTGATGGCCTGACATTGGACTCGGCCCTAAATTCCCATTTCTTAAAGCAGCCTGGTGGTTGACAGGCTGTTTAAAGCGGCTGCTGGGCATCCAACAATAAAAGAGACTGCACAAACAGGCTGCATACATAACAACCTCAAAAAAGATCTGAAACAAACATCGGCATATTTCATATCACAAGATATAATGCCATTTCATGTTGAAAAGCCTGGCTTTTTAAGATTGTGTGATTGGTCCAACAAAAAGATTTGGTTAAAGACATGTTTTTTTGATGGTTAAGACTTTCAGACCAATTCCAGGAAGTTCTTGATGGCTGTTGTCAGAACAGGAAAACAGAGAATCAACTGGCAAAATAAAATGAGCTGAGGAGGCACATGGGTAGAGAAGGAAAACAAATGTTTAATTGACATTTGGTCTGACAGTTTTATCAAGAGTCAGCTGGAAAGAAAAGCTCACAAAAATTTAGACACTTTTCAGTAATTTTCTGAGAGGATACCAGAGGATAGCAGAGGATAGCAGAGCAAAGTCTACAAACCAATCAATTGCAAATATCGGAAAACACAGCTAACGGAGGTGATGACAACAGGACATAGGCATGACATGTAGAGTTAATTAGTGCGCTGCATAATTGCAACGTGAAACCAAAACTAACCAGTGTAACAGAAATATGAATGATGGTGATTCCAATATGTTTTAGTGCCATTCGGAGATTTTAAAGCATATTATAATAATTATCAGGATAACATTGTGAATCACAGTTATTCTGGCCAGGATAAATATTGACGTGAATTTTTTATTTCGTCCTTTGCCTAATTGTATCTCAATGTACTTAATATGCACGGATGTTTCCTGTGTCTTGTAGCCTCCGGCCTTTGGACGTGGAATTTATGAAAGCTCTTCACGAGAAGGTTAACATCGTCCCCATCTTGGCCAAAGCAGACACACTCACCCCCAGTGAGGTCAAGAAAAAGAAAATCAAGGCAAGGCTCATCTCCGTCAATAAACTGTTGATATGTTCACGTGTTTCAGCTCCTAAATGAGACTGTGATTACATACATGCTATTTCTCCGTCATTTGTTTGGCTGCAGATCCGAGAGGAGATTGAGCAGTACGGTATCAAAATATACCAGTTCCCCGACTGTGACTCAGATGAAGATGAGGACTTTAAGCAGCAGGACCTTCAGCTGAAGGTAAGAGACCGAGCCGTCTGGTGTCTTTTCTTTCTGCTCCTTCTTTCCAGTTTCTTTCTTACAGTTTGGCATTTGCAGGCTGCAGCACTACACTTTTGTTGTCATGTGCAAAACTGGATGCACACATGGATCATTCAATTATCAAGAATTCACGGCACAAATAGCAAATATATCATCATATGTTTAATTATTATTTTTAGAAGAATTTAAAGTTTCATACACTTTTTTGTCCTGATCACATGAAAGAAGATTTTCCAATTAACAAAGTGTAGTGATGTAAAATGAATGTACAGCCCATATAACACAAGGCCTTGGCAAAACTAACCACACTCTTGATGACTCAACCATTTTTTGCTCTGCTGGCATCATAAGCTGGCAGCGAGGACGCAGTAAGTGTGCCATTATATATCTCTTTGCTTCTGTCCTTGAGTAGCCACTGATAAGAGCACTGCGTTAACTGCAGCAGATACGTGACTAATGGGAATGAAAATGGGAGAACTGGAACAATGTATGAGAAGTTATGATTCATTTAATAAAAGTATGGAGGGTAGCTTTAGATGAGCGTAAGCAGAAATGAGAAAGAAAGGCATCACAGCACTGCGGAGGCAAATGTGGAAAGATAGCAACATAATTAACACATCTGCACTGTACCACTCACTGGTCACACCTTAACTCATCCACACCCTCCCCTAACACATATCTTTGACACCTTGTTATAATTTACGGTCCTTTTCTGTTCTCCCAACAAGGAAAGCATTCCCTTTGCAGTGATCGGCAGCAACACGGTGGTGGAGGCCAAAGGGAAGAGGGTGCGAGGCCGTCTGTACCCCTGGGGCATCGTAGAGGGTAGGCGTGTTCTCCAACTTCATCACGAGTTAAAGAGTGACTTTGGTATTTTGGTATTTTCCCATGTTCTTGTGTCTGAGTGTGACTAATGGAGACAGCTATTTTTGAAATAGGTCCAGTATTGAGCGAGACTGCTGCAGCCGGGAAACAAGCTTCAATGTAATCTCTCAGGGCAATATTGCACCGTCAGTTTATGTCAACTAAAAGTGCTTGTTTTTGACAACTTTATGGAAAGTATCCCAACAGAGATAGACCTTTTGATTGAGAGTAAGAGTAAAGAGTAAAATTTGTTTAACTAGAAACAGACCTAAATTCACTATTGTCAAACTCACCAGAGTCCATTTAAATAAACAGTAATTTTATCATCATAAAACACACTTTATTCAGAGTTGATGGAAAAAAAATCCAAAGTTCCAGCCAAAGTATGGAGGACATGCCAGCTCCCTAAAGCTGTCATGCCAAAACACCCCCAAAAATGGTTTCTGTCATTTTAGTAGTTCATATGACACTTGTGTATGTTGATAAGTTTGGTCATAACAGGTAATTTGATGTCAAAAAGATTAGATAGATTTATGTCATGATTGACAGCTGTGTGTGCCAATTGGTATGCTTGCTATCGGTGACGCTGCATGCTATTAGTCAGGTGTATCGGAGGCAACTCAATACCAGCAGAGATCACTACTTAGAATCAGAATTTCGAATTTATTTCAGTCTGCAAATAGAAATAAGAACATCATGTATTAATCTACAAATTCATGTAAATAAAGCCACAGCCTCTCACAGAAAATGGCATATAGTTAAATAGTACAGTGCAAACATTACAATAAGGTAATTTAACATGACCTGGGCACGTCTGCAGTCCGAAAAAGGTGTAGGCTAAAGCTACAGCTTATAACACCTACCCTTTTAACAGCATATTATATGTAGCAGATAACAACAAAACGAACCAACTGCACTCTGGCTCGAAATGGCGTCACCAGTGCAACATGGTAGCGGAAATGGAGACGTGTCATCCTTCTTTATATACAGTCTATGGTTCCAACAATCACCAACTCTGATTTGGTTGAAATAAACCTTTATTTCACCCAGTTAGGCATGGTTGGTTTGGCGATAGCGATTTTGGGGCTGTTTCTGGTTAAACAAAAATGATCTTACACTTAAACAATAAGGTCGACCTCTGTAGTGATCCTTTCCATAATGTTGTCAGACACTTGGAGTAACAATCTGAGCCTGTCAGTGGCAAAACAAGTACTTCCAGTGGGCGTACATTGATGCTTCACAAATGCCCTGAGTGGTTACATTGCAGCCTGTGTCTCTGCTGCCAGCTACAGCCCTCTCACTCAATACTCGACCAACTTCAAAAACTGTTGTTCCCATTAGTCACTTAAACACAAAGACATTAGAAAATATGGTCCAGGTTGAAAAATACCTAAGTAACCCTACAGTTAAAGAATGTAAAACAACTCTTTAAAGATGCTGCATATATATTGTATTGACTTGGATACAGTAAAAGTTGTGTATGTTCTCATTGATCCGTTGCCTACATGATTCACTTCAGTTCATGAATCAGCTGTTTTCTGACAAATGCTAAATGTACTGGTGAAACTGATCCTCACACTCTGGTTTGCAGTGGAGAACTCTGCACACTGTGACTTCGTGAAGCTGAGGAACATGCTCGTTCGCACACATATGCAAGACCTGAAGGACGTGACCCGGGAGACTCACTACGAGAACTACAGAGCCCACTGCATCCAGAGCATGACCCGCATGGTTGTGAAGGAACGCAACCGCAAGTATGCTAACACTGAAGCAAGCAGGTAGACCTGAAGCGTAGAAGTACTATTAGACATTGTAATGTCAAGAGATAAGAAATTTAGAAAACAGAGACATTTAAAGAACACATTTTTGAAGAGAAATCAGTTGAAAATAATTTAAACATTTTTTATGTTTTTTATATTGCCATAGTCTGACAGAAACACAATATGTTTGTCTGCTGCCTAAAGTTTTCATGTTCAGTGTCTTTTACAGATCCTTAGAGCCACGTGTAATGCAGTTAAATCCCTCAGTTACTACCATTAGCCAGTGACATGTCAGGTCCACATACACAAAGCATTTTAATCTCACATTTTGTGATACAAAGACTGTGATCATTTTTCCCAAAACAATCTTTAAACATTAACTGTTGAACTTCTCTGCAGTAAACTAACCAGGGAGAGCGGCACAGACTTCCCCATCCCCGCTGTGCCCGGAGTGTCAGACGCCGAGACAGAAAAGCTCATCCGAGAGAAAGACGAAGAGGTACAGCATGTCGACCAACCGCCGGACTCACACCACCAACACGATCATGAGTCCGAACATACTCCTGCCCACCATGAGCACTCAGACCCTCAGCCCAACGCAGAGACACATTTACATCTCAGAGAAATGCCTGATGAAGCCCTCTGAGTGTTGTTAGCTCACAGATTCTGTTTGTCCACACACTTTCTTTGAAGCATATGTTTTCTGAAGCTGACGATGAGTAGCCTCAAAAACATGAATTTGTGTGATTCTGCATTCAGACCCTGATTCCCTCTCCTCACAAGTCCTTTGGACCTTTGAACTGTGGGCAGGAAAATGTTTCATAATCCCACTTCAGTCGCTGCTTTTAACCCTGCGTTGGTAAAAACCTGCTCCATGGCAGGTTTTACACTGTCAGAGTGGTGCAAACACTTACACAAAGTATTAATAATGTTAGAATTCAACAATGATTTTAATTCCCCTGCAATTGTATTCAAGGGCTAAATCAAATTAGCATGAAATATGATATAAATTGTTTTCTGGCATTGTTAGAGTAAATATAATTCCTTTTAGGCTGCTAATATTTAAATTCTTCACAGTCCAGTCACTGAGCAGATGTACATAACTGTACATGGTGTTCATTATAAACGGTTATCATCTGTTCATGGTGAATAATAATAATAAGACGTTATCCTCCCCGTTTCTTTCCCCTTCTCCAGTAAATCTATTTAATTCACTAAATAAAGACATCATTTCTCCTCAGTTGTTTTTATTTTTGTTTTTGTTTAACCATCTTTGGTAAGAGAAGAGAATTCCCACACACTCTCCTGTTACTTGCAATTTTTTTTTTTTTTTTGCTTGTTTTCAACAGCATAACAACTGTAATACATTCAGAGTGGAATACCAAAATACAACAACTTGCCTGTTGTCCATTTTTAACCCCCCTCTCCCCCGACTTGCAATAAAGTTTAATGAAATACTAGTTTCATTCATTCATTCAGTCATTAGAGCTCCATCAGGTGAAGTGACCTGAAGAAGGTCAAAGGAGCATGTGTATTGAAATAAACGTCATTGCAAGTAATAGGACAGTGTGCAGGAATTCTCTTCTCTTACCTATGGACATTTTCCTCATGCACACCTGTCTAAGTTATTGAAGGTGTGCATGGGCCTCCACATTCTAGTGTAACCAACATTAAAATGTGGTGAAACAAGATAATAGAGCTGCGACGATCAGTCATTTAATTGATTCATAGGAAACTGTTTGTCGTTATTCAAGCAAAAAAAGCAAAATATTTCATGTGTCCAGCTTCTCACATGTGAGTCTGTTGCGTTTATCCTCTTACATTATATGCTGATAGCAGTTCCCTGCAGTTGTTCAGCACAGGTCACGTGATCTAGAAAGAAACTCACTGATCCCTGAGTGTTATCGATTTGTTGTATGTGCAGTCATGTGTAAATAATCAGCTTGTATAAAGCAGCTGCATTACCATGAATGCAACAGTAGACATGTAAACTCTGGTACTAACGCTCATCTCATCTCTCCCCACAGTTGCGGCGGATGCAGGAGATGCTGCAGAGGATCCAGGATCAAATGCACACTCAGAAAGACGGCTATTAACACAGGACAGCACCGTGTACATGCATCTCTGTAACGGGGATAAACAAAATTCAAATAAAGAAAAAACACCTAGGAAACCTTTACTCCTCCTCTAGAACATTGGCATCCTGACGTGTCCACCCAACCACCGCTCAACCTCATCAACAGCACGTTACACTTGGATCAGGGACCTGCGCGGAGGTGGTAAGATGTTCTGACATTTGCAGCTTCCCTTTATCCTCTCTGACATTATGGCACCACTGCTGCGACACACTCGACCCTCCACTTTACTGTCTTCTGTTCTGTCGTAACTTTAATTAAAAAAAGATGTGTTTGAATGAGCTGTCATGGTAAGAAGGGTGGAATCGCAGCGATCTGATTTCTCCAAATATCTGAACTTTATGTAGCCACATGATCACAGGGTTGTTTTATTTTTTACATGAGGTCTGATAAGAGGTTTACATGTGGTGACCTGCTCAGATTTTTTTAAGCACACTTTTCTGGTGCAAGTGTTTATTTTTATTATCTCTATAGGTCAACATGCATACTGTAATAATTTAATTTTCTATAATTCACTCATAAACCTTTGTTCTACTGTTTATCATATTGTATGTGTTCCTGGTTTTAATTTAAACGACACTGCTTGACTTCATGTACGGATGATTGTTTTATATAGATTTCCTGTCAGCTGAGGTTACTGCAGGTTCATTTGGTTTAATCTTAAAGGGGAACTTCACTCATTTTTAAAATCATACATATCATTTCTGTGGTCTAAGACAGTCCAAAATGGTAAATATGAACAACTGTGATGCAATTTGTGATGTCATCAAGTGTAAAGTCTGGAGCTGCTCTATAGACAATGAATTGGGAGCCACGGCGTCCAGATTTCTCCTTAGTCATTAATTCAAGGGCCACACAGTTTAATACATTCAGTATCATACTTGTGTTTGGCCATGTCATCAAGCTAGTTTGCTGTCTCTGTCAAGTAGCAGTCTGTAGGTCACTCACTCTACAGCAGGAAGCTGCACTTCAAAATAAAAGCTCTGTGCCAGAAATTCACTGTACTATAATCCAAAGTGTGCTTTTTACAAACTTGACATGTTTGGAGACACTTGCGGCCCATTCTGAATGGAACCACGACCCAACAGTTTGGAACCACTGTTCATTGAGCACTGAGCATCCAGGGTAGTGTTCTGAGTATAGACCGAATCACAATATTTGTTTTCCTATCTTATGGGGTTGAAAACCATTGCGTCACATATATAAAACCAAACAGCAATGAGCAAACGCTGCCTCACTTGGTTAGCTTCTAGTCACCTAAATTTATATCAGTCAAGGTGTGCACAGTATTTAGAGTATTGTTACCACTTGAACTTGCTGTCAGACAGCCATTTCTGACATGAAACTGACGCCATTGTCTCAAATACACCAGACTCCATTAAAAAAAAGTCATTTTGCAGTTAGTGTGTAAGACAAAGCAGTAAAACTATTCCAAATTTAGCATACACGTAAGCTGATACTGATATTTTTGGTGGCTAAAATAAATTTTGCTGCAGCGTCTGCGCACAGCAGTATATTGCTTAGTTTCTGTGCCACTAAAGATGCTAGCAAAGCAACACAGTACATAAAATAAGCACAGCAGAAACGTCAGGTCGGACCAACATGTCAAACTATCTTTGAACATTATAGTTATTGGCTGAAAATGACAAGAGAAAGAAAAAGTTTCAAATTTCACATACCGTAAAACTTCGATTAATAGCCTGGGCTATTATTTTCTTAAATCACTCAACAGGCCTCTATATGAGACAGGCTTTTAATTCCTTTCACACAAAGCTGCTGCGCTGCAAAGAGATGTCGATGCTGATTGAAACCAGTGTGAATATTACTTGTTTAAAATTTTGGTTTCTGTAACATATCAATTATGAAGAAGTTACCACTTTTTTTGCGTCACTCTTGTCTTCTTTACCAGGTCGGTAAATCTGAATGAATTATTCTCTGGTGCTCATGGTTTCAGTAAATTGAACTGAACGATTGAATTGTAGAGAACCTTACAAAGCTAACAATATGTAGCATCTTCATATTGAAGATGCAACATATTGTAGCATCTTCATATTGAAAAAAGTTTAAACATTTATATTTGTATGCACGATCTATGTAGCTAAATAACGTTAGCTTTAGCAGCTAGCAAACAACCTGGTTTTATACACGCAAAGAAGTTTTATAAAACACGGCAACCAGACCAGGCTTCTAATTGAGACAGGCCTTTATTTGTCAAACTGTGCAGCCACGACAGGCTAGTAAAAGAGACTGGGGGTTTGACTGGGACTAGGCTTTTATTTGAAGTCTTACTGGAGCTCCGCAACTCAAATCAGTTTCCAGTTGTCTACCCAGAATTAATGGTTGTTGTTGTTAGCAGGACGAGGTGCTCAAGATATTTCGGTCTATATAGGTACATTCTCTGTTTCAGACCTTGTTATAAAGAAGTAAACAAACATTCTGTGGGTCCACAAAATCAGTCTCCTATTCATGTCTGTGGAGCAGCTCCTGTATACTTGATTACATCACAGTCTTAGACGTATTTAACACGTAATATTGATTAAACTTTCCTAGACCACTGAAATAACATATGGGAATTCTGAATATATGTGGTGTTCCCCTTTAATGCGAGGGTTCATTTAAATTTTGTTTTACTAGTGTCTGCATGTTTATCGTACAGTAGTTGCCACCTCTGCTGCCTGACAGCATGGATGTTCGTGGCTCAGCTCAGTGTTGGCCAGTCTTAACTCACTGCAGTGCTTATTGCCATATCAACATTTAAAATAATCCAACTTTTTACATAACAAAGGAGTCGTTATTATTTGGAGAATCCCCCCAAAGTCAGTTTATCTCATGAAAAAAACACCAACAGTTCTCATGCGAGAGCTGGTGACACCTGTTACATGTTAGAGATGTTTCGGACTTTGATAAGACAAGACCCTTGATTTGCATGAGGTGAGTGTCCGAGGGAAGGGTCGCATCAAAGGCCATGCAGTGTATTTATTTTTGCATGTGTTGTGTGAAGGTTTCTCAGATTGCAGATCAGTTTAGTGATCGTAAAGGTATTTATGGGCAATGAAAATATGTAGCTACTAAATTGTTTGGGGGAAATATGTTGACAAGAGGTGGATTTTATTTTTAATGTTTTGGTTGGTTATAATTATGTCCTCGGTTCAAGGAAACCCACATGTTGGATGTGTTAACCTTAATGTTTATCTTGTAACCAAAGCCAACAATGACAAACTTAATTTTATGATTTTCCTTTTCAAAGTGTGAATTTTGTTTTGTACTGACATAAGGAATATGAATTATCAAAGCCAAGAGTAATGAACAAAATTATTGGATGAACTTGATTTTCTTGCTAATTGTTTCTATGTTCCAGACGTTATTTTGGAAATTGGATGTCTCTGCCATGTTGTGTGACCTTTGTTATATAAAAAGAACATTCCTTGAGCTTCTGTCCCAGAGTCAGGTATTACTTTTGTTTCTGAATTTGTTTTATATTAAATTTGTCTTTTGTTATTCTACTTTTTGGAGTATATTTATGTAATAAATTTATAAATGAAATGTGGATGGAGAAGACAATATGTACAAATTCTAATATTGTAATAAAATATGAATATAATTTCATGGCTCCATCAGACACTGGGTTTTGCTTTTATGTTGTAAAAATGTACGCAGAATTGAAAGCTTTGTCTTAATAAATATGTTTCCCACATGAGATTTTCCGCCATTAAATAATGTATTAATGGTGACATAGTTTACAGTAAAATTAAGGCTTATGTTTACAGAGTTCTGAATTTAGGACAGATGCTTCTTTGAGGCCCATGTCGCACCAACCCCTCAGGTGACAGTGATTAACGGCTGAAGTGCTATACTATTGTATTTTTATGCAATTTTGAACAACATACTATACTATGACGTTTTTAGGCAATTTTGAACGACATGCTATACTATGACTTTTTTTATGCAATTTTGAACGACATGCTATACTATGAGTTTTTTATGCAATTTTGAACGACATGCTATACTATGACGTTTCTATGCAATTTTGAACGACATGCTATACTATGACTTTTTTATGCAATTTTGAACGACATGCTATACTATGACGTTTTTATGCAATTTTGAACGACATGCTATATGACGTTTTTAGGCAATTTTGAACGACATACTATACTATGACGTTTTTAGGCAATTTTGAACGACATGCTATACTATGACTTTTTTATGCAATTTTGAACTACATACTATACTATGACGTTTTTATGCAATTTTGAATGACATACTATACTATGACGTTTTTATGCAATTTTGAATAACATACTATACTATGATGTTTTTATGCAATTTTGAGCAACATACTATACTATGACTTTTTTATGCAATTTTGAATGACAATACTACGGCGTTTTTGTGATATTTTGAGCAACATGATATACTATGACGTCTTTATGCGATTTTGAACAACGTGCTATATTATGACGTTTTAATCGTATATTGAATGACATACTATTTTTATGGCATATTTCATGACATATTTTTACTCTGACAGTTTTATGGTTTATTTTTTATGACATACTATGACATTTTTATTGCATAGTTCATGACATTTTATAATTTGACATTTTTATGGCATATTTTATGACATACTATAGTAAGACAGTTTTACTGTATATTTTATGACATACTATATACTATGACATATTTTTGGCATTTATTTTGATAAATTATACCATGGCGTTTTTATGCCATATTTCATAACATACTATACTGTGACATTTTTATAGCATATTTTATGACATACGTTACCATGACTTTTTTCTTGTATATTTTATGACATACTATACTATGACAGATTCATGGTAATTTTCAATGACATACTATATATGACCTTTTTTTGGCATTTATTATGATAAACAGTACTATAACCTGGCGTTTTTATTGCATATTTTATTACATCTTCTAATTTGACCTTTTTATGGCATATTTCATAACATACTATACTATGACATTGTTTGGGGCATTTTTTATGACATACTATACTATGACATTTTAATGGCATATTTCATGACACTTTACTATGACAGTTTTATGGTAATTTTTTATGACATGCTATACTATGACATTTTTGACATTTTTTTGGAATACTATTCTACGATATTTTATGGCATAATGTGCTATGAAATTTGTATTGAATTTTTAATAGCATGCTATACTGTGATATTTTCATGACATCATAAACTACAGCATTTTTGCACAGAAAATGAAACAGAAACAGAAATCAGCAAAGTACATAAAAAGTTATATTTTTGTGACATAATATAGTCTGACATTTTTGAGGTTCATAATATTATGACAACTTTATTGCATTTTTAATGGAATAGCCACTATATTTTATTTTATGGCATTTTTTAATGGAATATTATGTCATTTAATGGCAATTCTTCATAGAATGCTATACTATGACATTATATATTATTATATATTGTAACTTTGACACTCATGAACACATACTATGACTTTTCATTATTTATTTAATCACATACAAAAATAAAAGCTGAACTATGAGAACCAGCAGCTCAGGACTTTAGACAGCTGCTTATAGAGCCTGAGGTTTTGAGTTTGATCCTGATTAAGGGCTAGTAAATTGAAAAAAATGTTTATCCCAGTTTCCCAAATGATTGAGCAAGCAAATAATTGCCTGATTAATTTATCATACTCATCAGTTGCAGCCATAAAATAGTCTTTGTATTGCTGATATACAACATAAAAAAACATACTTGCTTATGAACAAAAAAGCAGCATCAGACATTTGTAAACATAATACAATTTATTAACTATCTTTTTTTTTTTTTATAAACTTTTCATTTTACATATTTCCCCAGCTTTTTACATTATACAGTTAGATCTAAATGCAGCCCAACATTTACAGGCTATATACAACTTAAACTTTCTCCATAGGGAAAACACACAAGTATATTGTTGCTTCTTCAAGTATCTGAATCCCTGTTCATTTTTACACATTTTGTTTTGCTACAATATGATCTCAAAATGCATTTGTTTGGGACCATTTGCATAAAATATGAGGGTGAAAATAGCATTACTTTTATCTTTGCAATTAATTAGTTAAAAACAAACTAAGATTCCCTGCTTTAATCATATTGCATCAGAACAAAATTGAAAACAGTTGCTGGGTGAATACTTTACAGAGAGGCCAAATGGGATATCAACGTGAGAAGAGGTCTGTGCAGTCATCACGTCCTGATATACAGCACTGTACATGGTCCCAGGAAAAAAAAAATCAACTAGATCACCAAATTTACACTGAACAGAGGTTATTCTCCAGATGAAACAAGCAACGGTAAATCTTAAAATACAAAATCAGTTGTACATGTTACACTTTACATACACGTGATACTTTCATAAAGTAAATCGCATTTTTCTTGAAAGAAAGAAAAGGGCTTAAATTCAGATGAGTACACTACTCAATGTCCTTTCACAAATCAGTACATTCAGATTAAATAAGGAGAGCACAGCATGTTGCTGTTTTAGCAAATGCTACGCTAAACTGCTGCTCATTGAGACTAATAGAAATTTTCACAGTGCTAGCTTTGGAAAATGATAGTCAGGATAGTCTTAAAAAAATGATTGGGTTTATGCCAGCTGTTGAAATCACTTTACACCGATCCCAACCCAAAGTCATGGATGACAAGGCTTCAACTCTGAACCAACAAATGTGACATTCCTCCTTTAACTGTTTGAGGTCTGCAAAGCATAAAAGACAACACTCCTCGCTTTCAAGATTATCACTAATTAACACAGTCATGTCATGCATTCACAGCATGCAAACACACATCCTACTACCATTTGCTCTGCAAGACAGCATAGACACACTTTACTACACTTTATGGACCTTTATGTATTCACATTCAAAACCTCTGAACGCTCAGCTCCCTCTTCTTGTAGCATTGAGTTTGTAACTAAACGTTAAGTGTTTAAACACACCATTGTTTGTGGTAGATTTAGGGGCCATGTAAAACTGATTCCATTTGGTGAGGATATTTTAAAATATATGTGACTGTATCCTAAAACTAAGACTTGTGCTCAGTGAACGGTTGCTAGTATGTCTGAAAGACAAATACTAGAGATAAGTAACAATTTGAGTCCAACACTGAAAGTCAAACCCTGACAACTGCATATTCTTTTACCGTAAGGGAACAGTGTGTTAGAGGGATGTAGTGGCATCTAGCTGTGAGGATTGCAGATAGCTACCATCTTATACTTCTCCCGGTTAGAATTCCTTCAATATTCATTGTTCAGGAGGTTTTTAGCAGGAGCTGAATTATCCACAGAGGTCTCTTTCTCACACCAGACCACATGATACGTCACAAATCAGTGTTTCTCATACATTGATTGGCATGTCGGAGATGGACCGCTGCTCACCTATTTTCTCTGATAACTTAAAACCTAGACATTCAGGAGGTTTTAACTGGGAGCTGAATTATCCATAAAGGTCTATTCCTCACCAAAACAAATGGACACCTTTTGAATAAAGCAGTTTCACATTAAAAAATCTGTGTTTTTCCGCTGCTCTTGTCGTGAAGGGGCTGCTAACTACTAAACTAAGTGAATGGCTCTATCTAGAGCCAGTGTTTGGTTTGTCTGTTCTGGGTTACTGTAGAAACATGGCAGTGCAACATGTCCATCTCTATGGATAAGGACCTGCTCCCAATGTAGTTATAAATGGCCTATTCTAAGGTAAAGGAAACACAACTATTATTATTTTTAGGTGATTACGCACTTAAGCAAACATAGCATACTTATTATATTATTCTCCATTTCTGCCAATGCATCCCCCTAAATCCTACACACTGGACCTTTAAGTGGCCATTGTTTGAATAATATCCTCAGCATCATACTACTGTAACACGGAGTAGTACTACATTGAACACAATCTGCCAGCAGGGGGAGCAATTGCTGTATGCACCATCACTGAGGACTGCAGCTCCTGATCTGGAGCTTTAGTTCAGCCCATGATTTTGCTCCAGCCCTGCAGCATGTGCCTCTGCTGGAGAGGAGGAGCTCCTCTACATCACATTCCCAATGTGCTGGTTATGGCGGGTTGAGCACTCTGATCCTACACTGTCACAGCAGTCAAAACCCAATGTAGCCTCTCAAGTACATGATCAACTACTGGTTAATTCACAGCAGTCACAGTGATAACGGAGAGTCTGACCACCACCTAGTAATGACATCAACACTGTAACAGGGGGCTGACACGGACACTGTGCTGGCATTTCCCAAGATGAAGCTGTTTGTATAAAGCTCCTATGAAAATGACTACTGCTCCTCTATCTGTAACAATGGATGACAAGTAAGGGGCTGCCCAGCGTATACTGTCACACATACACAACATGATGACTATTGACCATATCCTAAATTCAGGATCAAAATTTCAGGACACTGCTGGACTGGTAATAAGAGTTCTTTTTGTAGGAATGTTCCCGTCTTGATATCAGCTGTAATGCTTCTGAATGATAGTGACTCTCTGTGGATCAGCCAGGTGTCCACCTGCTCACCCTCACTGTGGACTTGTCAGTGGCCTGATCTGAGGCCTGTGGTTCTCCCCTATCGAGGGGCGTCTCTGTCTCCCGGTTCGGTGGTCCTGTCGGCAGCGTTCAGGCCAACTTCAGAGTGCTGATGGGGAAGGAGGGCATGGTCACCATTGCCACAGGGTTGAGCACCGTCTGACCCACCAGCTGCGGGTGGTGGGTCACCATTTGTGTGCTCACTGCTGTCTGCTTGCCAACGATGGTGGCAGCTGGTTGGCTCGTTGCGGTGCCGTTCATGTGAGGGTGGGTGTGGTTCAGGGTGTGGGTGATATGGCCGACCACAGCCGACTGTGTGACGGCCACCGGTTGGGGGTAAAGGGCAGGTAGATGCTGGCTCAGGTGAGCCACAGGGTGCACGGTGATGTGGCCGATGGGTTGGTGGCCGGGGGCTAACTGGACAGTGCTGGTGGTAGTGGTGGAGGGAGCTAGGTGGGCAATATGTTTGGGTCCCCCGCCTTGGATGACGTGATTGACTGCTTGGATGACTGAGGGATGGGACACTGAAGCGTGAGCGATGACTGTGGGGTGTAGGCTGGACGCGGTCACCATCTGTGTCTGGGTGGGGATCAAAGGCTGACTGGGGGTGGTGGGAGTGCTGGAGGTCGTGAGTGTAGGTGGGGCCGCGGGCTTGGACACTGGCTGCGGAGGAGTTGCTGCCAGGGGCTGGAGCTGAGGCTGGTGCAGAGGGACTTTGTGCTGGATGGAGATGTGTTGGGTAATAAAAGAGGTAGTGGTGGGTGTGGTGGGTGTTAGGGTCAGGTTCGGGGTCTGAGTGGGTGTTGCAGTCTTGTGCAGCTCAGGTTTCATGGTTTGAGGCACGGAGGGTAAGGCAGGCTGTGCTCTCTGCTCAGTCTCATCTTCCAGGTCGTCGTCCATAATGTCTTCACCTTCTGCAACAGATGAAAAAATTAACTCAGTAGTATCATTTCAGGATTTTCTGTAGTATTTAATTTTACTATTTCCTAAATCTAAAAGGTATACTATGAAGGACTGTGGGTTATTGTTTGTAAACAGTATCGCAAACGAAAGCGAAAGCAAAAGTAAAACCTGGCTTATTGCCTCACTATATTTTTGTTTTTTCAGCTCTGTATCTTGTAAATGCGCTCTGTTTATGGTCTGCTACCTTTTCATAAAGTCCAGACCTCAACTGAACACTGGGGTACACACCCATAACCTCAACTCAACTCAAGTATATAAAATCAAAAATAAAAGCAAGAAAATACTGGCAAAGGCAGAGTCTCTGCAGAAAAATACACCACTATACTCCTAGTGGGTCATAAGTGATGATCGAGAGGGACTGTTTTTTTTTATTATTATTATGGGAAATATTATATACAACCATATCGGAAAATCCACGTAGTTTATCTTTATTATTTACACAGAGGCATCCCAGTGGGTCTCCAGTAATCTGACCCTGACTGTCAGCCTACCTGAGGCAGTGGAGGTGGAGGCCTGGTCCTCCTCTGGCTGCACTGTCTGTCGGAGGACGCGGTCGATCTCAATCACATCCATCCACTGGCTCAGATCGTTCTTCAGCTCCGCTAATCGCTGCTGCGTGGCGATCTTCTCTCTGGCCAGTCGCTCCATGTCATGCTCGTACTCCTTCTCTTTCCGCTTCAACGTCTAGAAGGAGAAAGAAGAAGAAGATAGTGAAACTTGTCAATAGGTTCTAAAATCATGAACTGAGTGACTCCATGATGGCCTGAGCTGCCACCAGTAAATGTACATATTATCAGTTGATTAGGCTGGCAATAATCCGATACAGCAGTAACAATATAAATCCTTTATTTGTGAAGCTTTGCTTTTGTTGACACTGTGTCAGAGAGGCGTGGATTTAACCCCATATTCATGTCTGAGGCCTTAGTTGATAGTTTTGTATCTGCCTATGATATACTGACTTATATACCCTTATGTAATGGGAGTTGTTAGTGGAGTCTGACGCCCAATTAGAGGCACTTTTTACTATAATGAAATGAATTACTTGCTTCCACTTACTACAACAAAGATACAGTTTGTTGCGAGGATACTGAATTAGTTTCACAATGCTCTTCCTTTGCTGAAAATGTGGTGGAAAGTCATTAAGTACATTTGCTCAAGCACTGCACATAAGCACAGTTTAGAGGCACTTGTACTTTACTTAAGTATTTCCAGTTTATGCTACTTTATCACAAGTCATGGTTTAAGTTCGGGAGCAGGTCTTGAAAATCAGAACTGCACAGGACTCTGAATCAGATCAGTAATGCAAAACAAAACATAAACACAACATAGACAGTTCAAGGTTAAGCCACTTCAGCCACTAAAGAAGCACAAAGACTGTGCCATGAATTCATGTATAATCATGTAAATCAGGCCTCCGATAAAAACCAGCCGATTCCTAGAAAATGTCCAACACCTTTAGGAAAAGGTGTCCGCTGATTGAAAAATAAAACACAGCACACCAATAAACCTTGACAGAAAACATTTATGCCCCTGTTGTCTTTACTACTGATTAATGAGGAATTAGTCTGAGAAATAATTATTTAAAAATAAACCTGCTGTGACCTGAGCCTGTGTGCAGGGAGCAAAATAACAGAGCCACAGAAGCACAAGGGAAGGAGGAGGTGGAGGAGGGAAGGAGGGAGGAGACGAGTATGGAAAGTAGGAGGTGCTTCCAGGCAGTGGCTCTCGGTGACCCAATTTCCCTTAACCCGTCAGCTGACACAAGGCAAAACCAAACAAACTGAGCTGGACTTCCCCCATACACAGCAACAGCAGGAAGAATTTAAAAACTATAACAAGTTTCACGCTGAGTAAGAATAACGCACATGTACAAATAAATATTCAGCAACATATAAACTAATTCCTCAGTTATTCCTAAATAAATATCTGCTGCTAATACAGACAGGACAGATTTATTCTGTCGGGGGATTAGTGTTTTCAAATTGAACACTTGATATAAGTCACGTTGAGCTCGGCCTGGTCAAAGTATCAGACACAGACCCTGGCCCCGGTGGGAGAGGCTCAGGGAAATGACACTGTGTGAAATCTGTAACCAGCAACCTGATGACTCAGGATCATAAAGCCATTTCCCCAAAGGGTGGACTTCCTGTTAGTGCTCATGCCACCGTGTATGTGTGAGTGTGAGGGTACAGCACATGTGCAGGTGATCTTGTGTGTGAGGGCCGGATTGAGAAAAGGGCATCTGTGTGCGTTGTGTTGGGCCAATTGTGGCTGTGTGTAGACCGAGCGTGGTCTTTGCGTGTGCATCTACAGCACAATATACATAAATAGCAAAGGGGGACAAAAGGCGGGCCTTGTGTAATTCAGCACCTGTCTCCAGTCCTTATCCAGGATTAGAAATGCACGGCCCAAGCGGTCTGTGCTTGGACTACATCCCATCGTGGGGTGTTTTCGGTCACATAAACACACACAAATACAAACTCAGAAGAAGTCCTGTTCACATATTGACAAGAACATAATTAAAAAACAATTTAATCTATAAAAACAAGCTGTTTATTTTGGATTAAAAGTAAAGAATTGCACTTTAAATTATAGGCCGGCACTGTTACATACTGAGCAGGATGTTTTACAGTTGAAAACTTTAAGGCCTTACACACCACCAAGTCTGTGTTTTTCATCTGAAATTGTCGCATGTATAAAATGAATACCTCCTGTTGTGTCGGTCACATTTACACACCGACTCCGAAACTTTCATCCAATTTTAAGAACAGGGTAGATTTTCTGCATTTTTCGCATCCATCAAAGAGAGTTTGACCAAGACGCAGTGAAAAGACAAACATCCACATCATGAGAGAGTAACAGGGAGCACAATATCATTTCATAACTGAGACAGCCTACTTACAAAGAGTCAGCTAATAATATTCAGGTGGATGATGATGACTACAAGGAGGATGTCAAAGAGGTCAGAGAGAGAAAGACTGTCTTAGCCCCTTCAGATAGCCACGGTGTCAAATGCACAAATGACAAACATGACACACACTGCCGCCTGCTTTGTATCTCATTCCTTGTGAAAAAGGGTCGAGTGCTTGTGGAGAACCATAAGAAACAACCAAAGTATTGTATCATTCCTCACTCACACACACTGGTATTCAGACAATAAAGTTGCTGTATTTTAATTGAAGCACAGAGTGCAGGATATATCAAATACTCCACTGATGAGTAATGTGTGTTAATCCTTACCATCATCAACATCTGGACACACAGATGTGTATCTCAACAGCCACTCTCTGTTGAAAAGAGCTGATAATATCGGTACTTCAGTCTCAAAGCATTAACAGTATCCTCTGTCTCATCACACGGTGTACTGAAATGCCCCCATCTTTTGGTTGTCATGGAAACAGATGAAAACCCTCATAAGGTTTCCTCGGTAACCTAAAAGACCATGCACACCTTCATATGCGAAAGGTGCCATTTAGTTTTCCCCTGACTTTGTTTAAATGTATAAAGACGTCTTATTCCCCTGGGTGTAAAACGGTGCACGGAGAACAGATTCTCACACACAGCATCTTTATTAAAGAGACTGTCAGCAGGGCAGATTGAAATGGTATTAAGGGCATACAAAATATGTGACACGTGGACCAAAAAGGGCTGGCTGCCTCCCGCTTACACTCAACTATTAGCAGGCAGCTTTATGTGAGCGGCGCCACAACTGTGCATGCCACAAACTATGACTCATGGAGAGAGAAACGCTCCACAAACACCAAGACCCACTGAACTCTCCCTGTTACAGTGCTGATGAAGGACTGAGCAAACACTGTGCTCGCCTCTTTAGACATAGGCAGTCTGAGATTAACTGTGTAAACCTGAAAACCTAGTCTGTCGCAGATGGATCCTGCAAGACTTTATCACCCTGTTAATCATGTCACCAGGTTGGTAGGACACAAGGTGCCAAGTACCTTTTGTCTCTTTGCACATGGCCGCACCCCTGAGCCTCCCAACTTCCTCCGACCAGAGAAGACAAGGCCCCACCTCAACCTTGTTTGCGTGTGAAAATCTAGATCAGTACAGGGATAGGCTGCATTATGTGTGTGTGTGTGTGTGTGTGTGTGTGTGTGTGTGTGTGTGTGTGTGTAAGGTAAACACTGCTCAAGCGCTGTCACAAGCAATGCGAGTGCTGAGCACATGGCCCCACAGAGAACAGGAGAGGGAGGGCAGCAGATAGCGGGGGATTGAAAGAGAGCAATACAAGCTGTACTCACTGACTCACTTTTGCAGCAGACGGCACAAGGCTGGGTTTTCTTAAAGGGCCAGGAGCACAGGAGGCCACGTTGCAGACACGCTGCTTGGCCTGGATGACTGATCAGGCCTCTGCACGGAGGTCTTGTGACAGTGTGGTAACCATAAACCTTTGTCTCTCTGTGCCTTCGAGGCGTAACAGAGAACTTCACGTGGTGCCTTGCTTTAACAAGAAAAGGCCTGACTGTTAAAAAAATCCTACTTTTGCACACCACTCCTTGTGTACAAGCCTGTGCTGGTCATAACTGACCTAATTGGCTAAGGACCAGTCAATAGTCTAGACCATGCTCCAGTGCAGTCCATAAGTGTTGTGAGACCACAAATCTGCAGTATATATCTGTGTTGTTGCACATTCTTATCGTATTAAACTGGGCAGATATTTCAATTCTTTCCCCAGAAAGAGATAGATATGCACACTTCTGTGCCACAGAAATGAAATGTTGAATTTCACTGCAGTCTTGACTCAAACCGTAAAAGCAAAACCAAGTGACTCCCTGAGACTTTCACAAAGACGAAGCAGAGACCTTAAAAAACCTTGAAATATTAAAGAACAGTGACCTCAATTGCCGAGGAAGACTGATTATTTTTAATGTACAAGGCTGCATGAATAATAAATGTCAAAGCAATCAGTGCTTTGTTTCAAGGTAAGGCTTCGTAGGAAATGTGCCATTACGTGCACAAATAAATGTAATTTACCTACAATGCTAAATATTAAAGCACATGACTTCCTCCACCTCCATGCACCACCAGATGGCACAAAATGTTTCAAACTGGCATTTGGGGACAAGCAGTGGAGGAACAAGTTCAGTCAGCTCTGAGGAGGAAATGAAGCGCGAGCGGAGTAAACCGAGCCCTGTGTTTACCGCTCCATGTTCCCTCCCTGCTGCTGGCAGCTAAGCCTGGTGGTACGGCGAGTCCTGCCTGTTGCAGTGCTGGGCGGGGGCCCAGCACGGGGGGGTGACGTCACGCGGCTCAGGCTAGCCATGTGCTTGCTGCTCATGTGGCCTTAAAAGCTCAGGGAGGCAGGATGGAGGGAGGAAGGGAGGGGGAGTAGAGAGGAGGAGCTCTAATGCATCAGGGCTTATTTTACAGCCTCGGCTTTCGCAGCACCACTACAGGCTCAGGGGAAAGCCTTTGGGAACAAGATGTAACACATGTAAAGTAAAAACCCCCAGCAGCTTTATTATAAAAACACAATTACCGAAAAGCAAGCTATTTGCATGTGAGGTTTCTGGTCAGTAAGTTGCTGAGTCATTTGGACCTGAGCTGAAACCCAGAAGTGAAACTTGAACTATGTAGCTGTTGGTCAAGCCAGTGGGTTTCTGTGGAGAACTAATAAAACTACTGTGCCTGCACTTATTTCCTTAGTTATCACTTGAGATAAAAGCAATGTAAATCAGATGAAATGTGATACCGAGCCTAAAGCCTCTTATTGAAACCTCTCCTGAGCTCAGTGTTTTGTGTGCAGGCTGCTTTTCTGCTGTCAACCCAGAGGAGGGCAAGGACAGGGGCGGGGAGGGGGGTGTATGCAGGCAGGACACACATCTGCACCACCCATGTCAAGATGACAGTGTGTACACGTGTTCTGTTTTGGCCTTTCGTCACCTTAAGTTCCCTGTTTTACTCTACCCCTCCAAAACAAAACACCACCAGCCATGCCAGTGAAAAAGCCATCCCGGGACAAAGACGTATACACGAGAAGACTAAAGCAGCTAAACTGTTCCGACCTCTAAGAGATAAACTCTTAAATCACCAGGTTTGTTAAAAAGGACCTGTCACTGCTAAGAAAACTGTTTTATTGGGATGTAACTTTAACGTGTATGCCTCGCCTCGCTCGACATGATGAGGCTGTTACAGTTGACATTTCTGCAGAAAATGGGATCAGCTGTGGCATTTTTCCCTCTTCAGTCTATTTGCTTTAAACACATTCCGTGTCCAGCTCAGCTGTTGTTAGGAGGGAAAGAAAGCCAGGTCAGTCTGCCAGTCGAACACAACACTCTTAGCACCATGTTGCTTAATCACACAGAGAGGGGGCAGAGGGAGGGAGACTGGGTGACGAGCTCTGCACCCACGCTGTCCTAGTTTCCCTCCGTATCCACGCACAGGGAGGAATAACCAGATTGCTGCCTCTCAGAGCATCACATCAGCAGCACACTGTCCTCTGCAAAATTTACATGAGTAAACCCGCAGCGCAGTTATATAATAATCAGAAATATGAATTAGATCTTTTCACGAGATACTGTAAAAGAGCATGTAACTGAGAAGGGCTTTCAATGTGCACACCAAATTGCAGACATCTCAAGACAAGTTTTAATGCAATAAAAACTGTTCTACTACTCCATGTAAAAATCTAATAAGCACCGTGCACCTGGATCATATAAGCATAATAATTAGAGCACCAATACACACAACATGACAGCCAAGCTTAAATTACAACAGCTCATGCAAACCTGGGCCCATGGATGAGCTTGTGTTTCAGATTTAAAGCTGCCACCCTACTGTGTCTATCTATAGGAGGAGGGGAAAAACTGACCCACAGTAAACACCATAACACACTCAACAGCACAGTCAGTCTGAAAGAGTTAAACTAGACCAGTGGTGGACCTTTGCACCACCTGTTTATAGCCAGAATACTCTCATAGTGAGGGCCTGCTGCAAACACATGGTGAGTCATTTTGGACATGGCACTTATACTTAATATTAAACACAGAGACGCCGAAAAACAAATGAAGCGTGAGAGATTACTCAGTAAAACTGGGTCCAAACAGAGGAAGACAGAAGGGCACGACTGAAACTCTGAGTGATAAGTAGGAAACAATGCTGTGGCAGGAAGAAGGTTTTCAAAAGGCCTCAAACCTATTTAGCCACACTATTGGTATGTTTATTAGGTACAGACAGAGACGACCCAACATCACTAATCTTGTACTCTGTCTCCTTTCAAATCAATTTCATCCCTGAAAAAAAATCACTGCAAGTGTTTCTCCATCAACAAGGAATGTCTGAGAAAAGCAGGACAACATTATATAAACCATCATGCTTTGTTTGCCTCCCTTCTTAAACAAATGTCCCTCCTCTTGTACCCCAGACTCTGGCTCATACTGCAGCATGCTTTTAAAACAGTGGGTGCTAATAAACGTGTACAAACAAGTCGTAGCAAGATTCACAAACATGTAGTGAATGCAGTATACAAGCTGGAGCTTAGAGGCTGATAATAAGTGCTCAGTCAGCTGCTAGAATATTTTATTTAAAGGCACTATATATGAGAGTTTGAACATTATTACAGCAGCAGACCACTATTAGCTTTGAAAAACGAGGCAGAGTGATGGCGCCCTGAGCAGAGAATGAAGTCATGCTCCCTCAGAGCTTCTCTGTTCTTTGTTTTGGGAGCTGGGCCGGCTGCACGTGCATGTTGGTCCCTTCCTTAATGTCCCAAGAGCTAGCTAATCACCGTCGCTCTGTACTGCACTCATACAGGGTTACCACCATCATTACGGTCGTTATTTACTCTCTGTAGAAAGTATTTCATTGCACTACCCACTACATTACTTTTGTGTTACTCCACAGCATTGCCTGAGATGCACGGTAACGTAGCTAGCTAAAATATAACTCTAAACCTTACACATGCCCACATATCAGCACAAAACAAGAATCAGAGAATCATGACAACACAGCATTATCTATAAATGCCTCAAAATAAAACTATTCCTATTTCTAACACTATTAGGTGATGAAAGACTTAAACGGAAAAAACATATTTAAGTGCATATAACATTTGCACTTAAATATTGTGTCTGGCCTGCATTTAACAGGCCAGACACCTTCATTCTAACTCATTCTAGTTGCTGCCTCACTAAACCATGGCTTTTTAGCAGACACATCCATCTTGTCTGACATGTTTATCATTTAAGCAGCAGTTATACATCATGAGGAGGACAACCTCAACCTGTTACTCCTCAGAGTCACCATAAGACTGCCCCGAAGCGCCTCTCCAAGGGTGCACTGGACGGCTTTGCTGTTGTCAGCACTTTAAATCATTTTTTCTCTCCTCCCATTATGCAGATAACTTATTTTACTTATGCAAGTAAAAACATAACCATTAGGAAACAAGCTCACCTTGTGCGACTACTCAGTAACTGTAATGTGATTACTAAATTTATAAACAGTACCGTATTTTACAGCATTACAGACAAATGTAATGTGATTACAGTAATGCAACTGGTTACCACTGATAACACCATCCAGACCCACAGTGATGGGACAATTTTGTTGTGGAAGTGTAAAGCCCACCGTCTGGTTAGCCTCAGGTTAACATTATGAGTTCTGTTACCATTAGCCCTTTTTAGATATGACTTGTGCAAATTTGCAGGAAAGCCCAATCAGTGTTTTTTCAGCATTGGCAGTATAAAAATAAAATTGGGGAGGGCGGAAATTTGCCGCAAACCTACTTTTGTTTATACAGAATATGCCTTTTTCGGGGCAATGGGGGGCGTGAGCAAGTAACAAAACGTGTAGCTCAGTGTGTGACGTAAACAGTGACATGGGAGGGAAGCTGCGGCTGGTCAGGCGGTGCTAGTCAGACAGCGATTCTCTCGTAAGTTGGCCCATTCCTCACCGTCCCCGTCATCTGACGATTAATGGCCTCTTTGTTTGCGAGTGGAAGGAGGGCACGCAATTCCTTGTCTCCCCAGTTGCTCATCCTTACTGTCAGGTTTGCATTTCCCTCTTGCTATTTGCTGCTCGCTAATTCCTGCCATCAGCCGTTTCCTGTTTATCCACCGCCAGTGGCTCGCACGTGCGGCGTCATCAAGAGCTCCTCCCACAAGTCTTCAACAGCCCCTCGGTCTGTTTAAACTTAAAGGGTTCCGGCAATATGACTACCCTACGAGGCGGAAAATTGGGCGCCTCAGGTCAACTCGCCTTTCCGCCTCCGTGTGTATAAACGCTCGCAGCTGGCCAAAAAATCGGCCCAACATTCACGGAAAATCTGGCAGTGTAAAAGGGGCTATTGTTAGCATGGCTAGCACTGCAAATACCCGCCATTTTGGCTCCGCCACCTCCATGTTTGCTTGTGACATCAGAGGTGAGAGCTGTGTGCAGGCAATTCAGGCCCAGCACGTTTTTACCATGGATACAATGAAGGTCTGGCATCGATACAGTAGTAGTTGTTTAGCTATGGGCCTTTGCTGAACGCACAACAAACAAACTAGACTTGTCTTACCTGGATGTATCTCAGCGCACTTCTCAGCACACTCAGATTGGAGGTCTTCTTCTCATCAATGTTGGGGATGTTCTTTTTCAGCGTCTCAAAGCACTCCTTCAAGTGTGCTCGTCTGACAGACACAAAACAGAGAGGGGATTTGAGACGGCAGGAATGGTAAAGCCACACTTGGCTTAATTTTAGCACCAGATGAATACCACAACAACATTTTCAATTTGTGTTCGTGACCAAAACAAAGATCAGGCTTAGCATTAAATTAAACAGCTACAAATAAACAAAGGCATCAGTCAGTTTCAGAGGAAACATAGTAGGTGCTTCTCAAAGTCAAAGAGGGATATTAAACGGCTGCATTTCGAAGACCCTACATTATCGAATCTCACAGAAGGACTATTCCAGAGTCTAGAACAACTTAACCAACCAAGAAGCGAGTCCTTTGTTCAGGGAATTCTCATGAATTCGGAGTGTATCCTTAATCCTATGCGCGCTTTTCATTGGTCCTGTCCCCTGATTAGGAGACAAGGAAAATGTGCTAGTAAACTTTAAGTCATTACACCTCAGCAGTTAACGAAAATCTGTTTCGGAGAAAATCTCAGGCGAGAAATGGGCATTCCAGTTACTGAATGTTCACTCAGATCTGAAGACCCAATTTAAAAATTTGTTCTGACTTTCGTAAGGCAAGAGCACTGATGCATTGCCAGTTCTTGGCCGTGCTTGTTTTTTAAAAATGGCGACGAGCGAAATGGCAGCAGGCTTGTATCTTCAATCAATCAATCAATCAATCAATTTTATTTATAAAGCCCAATATCACAAATCACAATTTGCCTCACAGGGCTTTACAGCATACAA